ATTGACCGAGTTTTTATAATTGACCGAGTTTTGGTGATTGACCGAGTTTTTGTAATTGACCGAGTTTTGGTGATTGACAGAGCTATTGTGAAACGACCGAATTTTCGCAATTGACTATTTTTATTAGAATTGATTGACAAAAAACATATGAAACGTGCTTGTGTACTGCAATGCACTGATAAGTTTACACATTCAAACGAAGTAACGCAATTGACAAACAAATATTCAATTACATCGAAATGACAATTTTGAACCATTCCGCGCGCCATAGGTACTTGTAGTTTTAATAGTTTGAGACCATAATGCAAACACTGAAGGATGAGATCTAGAACCTCTTCAAAAAAATTTAACAAATTCTCAACGTAATGATTAGAAACAGGACTAACAGTCAAGGTTTGTTTTTATATAATTTCAGATTTGTTTTCTAGGAACTTTTCCTCCAATTTGTAAGTTTGGTGGTAGATTATCTATATCTATTGATTTAAATGTCTTTGTACTGGGTGATTTGATGGAACAGTAGTATTTTACGATATCTTCAACACTATTAATATCCTTCAGTTGGTGACTTGGAACTTCAAAACCAAATTCTTCATTGCAATGCTTAAGGATCTGGGGGAAAAATTCATTAAATGAAAAATTTAATCTTTTAAGCTTGGACTTAATGTATATTTATTGCAGACCTTATGTCATTCCCTTGTGTACCATTTCTTTGTTTAACAGTTGTGCATGAGAAGACACATGCATATTGATACAACTTAAACAAAGAATCTTATTCTCAAGGTAATTATGCCCAAGCCGAAATAGAGCTGTCTTTCGTCTGGTCAATCAATAAAGTTCCATTCATACCTTGTATTTAGTAATTATATCCCTAGTGTCAACTAATAGCCAGTCATGTTCAGTAGATAGTGACATCGTCTTCCTTGTAATGGACTCTAATTTATCTTTTATCTCTGATGGTTCCATGTTAAACAACTGTGGACTTGTAGCCTTCTTGATTTGATAATAACTAAATAACAAAGTAATAATAGACCTCTTTACCTTGAACATAATGTTTTCTCATTCCAGACCATAAGTCATTCCCTAGAGTATCATTTTTTTGTTTAACCAATGTGCGTGAGAAGACACATGAACATTGATACAACTCAAACAAAGAATCTTATTCTCAAGATAATGACATGTGGTCTGAATGAGAAATGTTATGCCCATAGTAACAAGGTCTATTTTGAAAATATTTACACCAGGCAAATTGAACTTGTTGCAAGCCGACTTCTTCCATAGTGAAAAAAGAAAAGTTTGTTCATGTTGTATCATCTTATAGTAACCATGAATACATTAACAAAAGCATGTCTGCAAATCGTAGGGGAGGGGGTAGTAAAACAACAATACAAAGAGGTAGATGAGAACCATAATATCACTAATAGTGGCTTGAAAAACTTTCAAATTCATCAAAAATAAAGAATAATAATGAAAAGTTAATCCGTTGGCAAAAGAATTATAGAGGTAGAGTCTAGTAATCGTGCCAAGCAAATCTTACTCACCTGTCTGAATCAGATGTTTGTTGTAGCTGTTCCGGTGAAACAGTTTCGCCAAATACGAATTTTTTGACTCTTTGAAGAACTCCCTCATCAGTTTTAGTGCTAGCTACAGCATAGTATCTATACACACTACGTAAGAGCATGTGATCGTGTTTTAAGATTGTCGTCCTGCACCATGTTCTACAGACAGCCGCCATGTTGGATTCGACTCGAGTGTGACACAGGGTACCCAAATATAGTAAGACAGAACAGATTGAACATGGGAGGGGAGGGTGAAGTCTTAAAAAATGGGAATTCTGAAATAATATGATTTTGTCTAAATAATTTTATGTAAATTTTATAATCATCTATGAATGGTTATGCACAGACAGCCCAAAAAACTAAAACTTCACCAGAACAACATTGATTGAGTCTAATGAATTATGCGAAAGCAAAATTTAAATTGAATTTGAGTTGAATTAATTCCTTGACTTCGAATGAAAAGCACTAAATTTGATACATTTTGTTGCATTGACTGTGACAATGGTTGTAGAGTGTGATTATTAGTGTTGGTTTTGATCACTTCTTGAGCTCTTACATTTTGCACCATTTGGTCAACCATGGGTAACTTCCACAGATTCAAGGTTTTTTATTTCCACTTACAACAATATAAAATAATACATGAAAAGACGTAAGGGTAAATTATTATGGTGATAGAGTGCAGGAATACAACCTGAAGGGTTAATGAAGAAGCTTTCTGCACCCGAGTATTAATTAGGGCCTAAAATTTGCTGCAGCCCTGACATTTGCTGCAGCAGTCCCTTCAAGGAGCCCAGGTCATGCTAAGGTGATCATATAATAGTTTAAACCATTTTTTGAGGAAAAAAAAGAACAGAAAAACACGACATCAATACTAGTTTGATTTCAAAACTATCAGCTACACAAGAACGAAATCCAATGAGCACTGTGACTAACATTTTAGTTCTATGATGACTGATCAGCAGCAATATCTTTTTCAAGTCGCAAGACATCTGCATACTTTTCTGGGTGTTGGTTTGCCTGTGCTTGATGCCACTCAGCCCAGACCTCAGATGTCAACTCAGCCATACGTTTTTGCCTTTTCATTTTCCTGAACTCAGTTTCTACTCCGTCTGTTACGAGCACTGCAATTAGTTTTTGAAGAAAATAACTCAATACAATATTAAGACAAGAAATACAGGATATGATATTTAATTTGAAATTTTGCCAAGTAATTAAGTAATTGGCATTAGCTGTTGTGGTTTCCCTGCCTCAAAACATGTATCTATATTTTTATCATTTTCCCCGTCATATTTTGAACTTGTTAGATAAATAAATATGTTGAATACAAAGATCAGTTTGTTCATCTCCAAGGTCTGGGAGGTTCAAGGGAGAACTCCTTTGCACCACCCTGTCAAGAAATAATGTTATCTGGGATTTTCCCTTGATGTCACTAGGATTTCTCACATGGGAGGGGTGGCTGGGTAGGGATTCATGACACCAGAGTCAAAATACTGTACTCGCCTTGTTTTGAATACTTAACAGTTAGGTCCACAGTCCCTGTAAAAAAACGTCAAAAAGTTTCAGAAAAAGTCATACATCCACTAATGACCAGTTATCATTCCACTTAAATATATTCCAATACCAGTGATCGGCTGCTTGATTTAACTGCAGCAAAATCTTTACGCAAGGGTTCGAGCATGCGTGCAAACAATAGTAATTTTATGTAAATATGGCTGCCTAAATCTTAAGAAGAAGGAAAATAATACTTATTGACGCATGACTATTTTATCGCAACCCTGACAAGCACATGGCAGATACTTACCAGACACTAATTTTAGTATTTTGACTGCTCCGGCATGATCAATCCCAACAAGACTCTGAAAGTAAGAAAAATAATAATAAAGATAACTGAATAGCACAATTCATACATCATGCAATATAAGCTTACCCGGTCATTAACTGCAAGAATGACATCACCAATACGCAGTCCTCCCAGCCTGGAAATACAAGTACAAGAATACAGTTGGTTCAAAGTGTTGAAGAATGATGCTAATGAACCTATAATTGGAGAGATGACATCTAGCCTGACGTAATGTTGCAATTGCTTGGTTTACTCCCAAGATTAGTGTCACAATCTTGGAGCAAGTGTGGCTTAGCTGGTTAACACATGCGCAGGAACCAAAAGCAAGAACTTCCCCAACTCATCAACAGTGATCATCAGTGACGGAACCAATAATGATCCAGGGCAATTTCAAGAAAATTGGTGTTAGCCAGAAACCCAGTGCATAACTTCCTCTTTTGATTCTACATAATACTCTTGCTTCTTATTTTTAAAATTCTAAGTACTCATAAATTGAAAGCAAACTTATAAACTTAGTATTCGGACTTGCACAAACCTGTCTGCCAGACCTCCAGGAACTATACTGGAGATGAAGATTGGTGAATAATAATTGAACACCAACCACTGTTCGTTCTTTAGTTTCTTTTTTTCGCCACCTTTGATACTGAAACCAAAATCTTCAATTTCCTAGGAAGAAAGTTGGCAAGATACTGGTATTTTGGAAGCCTACATTGCAGGTGTTACTCATTGATCCCTGGACCCAAGGAGGAACCGAAGAGGAGCACCTTAATTTAGTTTAAACAATGATATTTATGAAAAAGGGGAAGAAAAAAACGGGCACACCTAGGATTTTGGCCAGGTGGATTCTAAAGGATTAACACTGGCTATTTTCTGAAGAGGGAGTTCTTAGTTGTTAATTTGGAGGTTTGACTTGTCTACCACTTGGTGGAAAGCACATTTTAAAAATCTTTCTTCTTCTCAAAAATTCTACAGTTTTAAGTATTTTTAATGGCCTATGCATAAGTGTGTAGTTCCAGAAAATAAATTTAATATCCATACCCCCACAAGAGGGAATCCACTACCCCAAGGAACTTCCAATTTTCTTCCATACAAACTCTGTAATTTTGTTCTTTCTCTGGCCCCCCTACTCTTCTGAAATTCCAATTAATTTCTTCCATGGTTGGAGTATGGATATTCTCTGGAGCTACACAATACATGACCCTGAATCAGGATCATTAAATGAAAGACAAACCTTTTCTATTGTTACAATACGCTGGCGTGATGTCATCAAACCAAAGTCAATTTTCTCCTCTGTGTCAATGTCTTCTGCCTCATAAAGTAACTCAAAACCCCTTAGTTCTTCAGGGAAATGATTAAGAAGTGTAGTCTGACAAGCCTAGAAGTAAATGATGTTGCATGAACTAAGATTTGATATTAGATCATAGCAGGATTTTGTTCATGTTTGCCACAGCACTCAAGAGATCAAATATTGATCAATAATGGGAATACTGAGAGACGAATCAGTGTCTTTCCTCTAAGGAATGAAAGACGCTTGTCAATGGATTGGTGTAATGACTGTCACATTGTTCTGATTGGATTAAAGGTATCATAACACACTCTGTGAATAACTGGTATAAAATTTACCTTTTTCTCAGCATGCTCTGCAGAGTCACTTATTCCTGCAAGAACAAAATACAATAGTTAGTAAATAATGGAAGCAAAATGGGACAAGAAAAGAAGAATTCAGGGAAATCAAAAATGAGAAAGGGAATGAGGAAAGAAGGCCTCCTTTTCTCAGAACATTATAGAGAATTTTTCTTTTTTACCTATAGCCAGACATTTATCACCCCTGAATACTCCAACCTTGTATAACTTGGCTTTACTCTGGCTTGCACCTGATTTTGGTGTGTTCCTCTTAAGAAACCTAATCAAATCACATAATAATATAGATAAACTGATGTTGACAAGTGGCGACTTGTTGGAACTGCATTGGTGTCTTGAATACAACAAGTGAATAAGGAGGAAACTTTTATTAAAACACTATGTAAAAAACGTTGTAACTGTGCTGATGTTTTAGATGTTAGTCCTTGATGGCAGTAAAAATGGAAGATAAAAACTACAGGGTGTAATTAAAGATACTTTATCATCTTGTTGACTGACTATACATGTACAATACTGACTTCACACTATTTTAAAATAATTTGGAACAATTATGAAATACCTTGTTCTCAGAGGTTCATCCTTAGATTCTTTCATCAAACTTCTTAATATGTACTTTGGGTGTTGAAGTTTGATTATTTCCTTGATTTGTTCTTCATTTAAATTTGAAATAATTTTTTCTTGAACTAGTTGTCTTGCTTTTGCTGGACCCTAAATTTAAAATTAAAGCATTTTTTGTTCATCCCTAAAATAAGTATTACTACAGGATGCCTTAGCCATAGCCACAAATTTCTAATTGGTCTGGTTTTCAAGGGTTTTCAGTTTTTATCTTTTTCTATTATTTTTCCCATATTTTTTCCCAACCGTACCAGTGGCTACAGCCCTGGCACTGCTTTATTTATAAAAATTCTTCTGAATTCTTTTAAGACACCAGCTTTTTTTTGTAGAGAGGATATCCTCTTGAAAATCTATGCCATATTCATATTCAAGTATTCTCAACCTCTCTTCGTGGTCCCCCCTCCACACCCTACTTTTTCTTATCCTTTTTTTCCTCTTTGCACTTGCTCTATCCCCAGGTCTAAAAATATCAGCTACTCAAAGACCAGACATGATGACTGGCCAAATCAGATTGATCAACATGTGAGTATTCAATGCGACTGGTTGGCTTAAGAGGCACTTAGTGTCAGTCTTAACTAGAAATTATCCATTGACCAACTGTTATTTTTAGCCCTGCGAACCCTTCTGGCTAATAATCATTCCCTTATCTGAGTGAGCATATATTAACCAAGTGAGAATACAATTATGCATCATACGTACCTCATGCATATAGACCACTCCAACAAGCGCCATAACAGTTTGAGCTAAAACATTTTTGTTGATGCTTATCTACAGTCACAAAGTACAAACATTAGGTTCATATAATCTTCATATAATCTGATTCCAGTCAAAGATTTATGATAAGATACAAAAGATATCTAATATGTACCTCAGAAGCAATCAAACTTTCCATCTCAAAGTCTTTTGCTATCAGCTGGAATTGTCTTTCTAACAGACCATTTTGTATATCCCTTGAAAGAAACACATGTATTGATAGAACGGATGAGTTAACTACATGCATACAAACATTCAGTATAAAGGACAATATTTTTCATACCAACACTGCTTGACATTGGACAAAATAAATGGACTTATAGTGTTAGTAGCTAGCACACTTACCAAAGCTGATGAGCAGAAAAATGTGGAAAGTTGAGAGTTAACAGCTCAGTTAGAAATCTTTTTGACGTTTGGACTCCTATAAATCAAACATAACAATTAGTAGAGAGTACCTATATGTACTCCAGGATAAGTTCAACAGTTGTACCATTGAGCCAATGATTTGAGTGACTGCCAAAAATAACTTGCATGGTAAAATAACATATCTAGTTTAGGTGAAATTTCATAAGCAGAGGACCAAGATTTAGATCTAGTAAAAGTGAATCTAGAATATATGTACTGGCCACGCAGTGGGTGGGGAAGGGGGAACTACTGCCCACTTTTTCCCATACTAGTCTCAATCTTAGCCCCACCACTCCCCACTTTTGAGTGTGCTCTTTGGCCCCTAATATACTGTATGTACATGTACCATTAAGGATATGAAAGTGAAGAACATAGAACATGCCAATAAAACTGACCTAATAGAGCAAGCCATTCATTGTCGTGGTGCTGTTTTTTCAACCCAGAAGCATGTGTTATCAAATATGACTTATGAATAAATGCCGGGATGACAGTATCTATATTCTGTGATATTCCAAATGACTTGACAAAGTTGGAAATATTTTCTTTAAATTCTGGTGGAGGAAAACATAGGATACTGTATTATAATCTATAACCATATAATGTACCAGATTTTACATGATCACAAATAAGTGGAGTATTTTTTTCAACTTAATAGATGAAATCAGCTGATACTTTATCATTATTTTTAGCACCTGTTGACTCCACTGACGTTCTGGAAGATACCTACAGAAAAAGAAGGCTACTGTTAATTACCAAATTTTTATATTTATTTATTTTGCATTAAGCTTAATTTTGACAGCTAAGTCAAAATTAAATGTCACTTCACCTACCAGTTTCTCATCATTTCCTGAGTTGTTTTGTCCAACATTCTCACTTTGAGAATTACATAAATGTCTTCGATTACTGCAGATAAATGCTGTCGTAATCAACCTGTTACGAGGACATCGAGGGGCAACGAAAGACAGATTGCAAGATGATGTTCCCTTGATAAGAATTCCAAGTACCCTGCCTACTCGCAAACTTTGCATAGCCCGTGAGCCCATCGCTGCCAAAAAAAACACTGCTTCTATTTGGCTATTGCGAAATATAACAGTAACCTTAAAAGCTGATTAAAGTAATACAGCAGTATTAACACTCATTGACTGTGAGAATAAATTATTTGTGTATTGTAACTATGAACATCAACTCGTCCGCCATGTTGTTTTTCTCACATGGTAAAGGTAAGTACTTCATGTAAAATTAACGATAGTGTCTCGCTCCAGTCCCTTATCTTCCATTTGTACTCAGGTTTCCCCGTCCAACCAAAAAAAAGTGGAGGACGGCAGATGTGCTTCTGGCATTCCTCCATGAAAAACTCATCTCTCTGCCAGAAATGGCAACAAAAAACATCTTTTTGTATGTTCCTAACATCATAGGTATGTGTAGAATCATATCATGTAAGCAATATATGTCAGTAATAACGTAATGTTGTTTGTACGGTTTTGTTTTAAAGGGTGCTGAAAGTTTAGATATGTTTAATTTATCTTATATTAACTTACTTTATTTAATTATATAAGCTTATTTGATTTCGAGAACAAAAAAACAATCATTTCGTATTATTTTGGTAACAGAAATTGGTGTTCTGCCATAAGTAAAATTTTGTATTTTTAATGTTTAGATGAATATTTTGCAAAAAAAGGATTTACATATATATGGTTTCAAACCTGTTTACCGTTGCTATGATAGTTTTGAATTGAAGATGCATCACACTTCTAAGTATTCTTATGATAGCCCTCAGTTGATCAAACTACTCACTTAATATTTCATTTTTATTTTAGGTTATGTCCGCCTGGTTCTTTTAGCAATATCTTTCTGGTTCCTGAGAACGACACCTTTATCGTTTTTATCTTTTTATTGCTTTTCCATAATACTAGATGGTAGGTAAACTAATACTGTATGTATACAAGGTTTAATGGATTTAATGGACAGGGCCTGGTTGCATAAAGAGTGAATAACATCTGTTGGATAGTTTGTTATCCATTGGATAAATTTTAGTTGGATAACAGCTATTTGATAAGGATTTATCCAATATATGGTGCTATCCAGTCTTTGTGCAGCCAGTCTCAAAAGGCTAGTACATCTACTGAACCTTTATTCCTAAATGTTTTCCACAAGCCTTCATCCCTCCCTCCCTCCTTCCCTCCCTTCTCTCCCTCCCCATCTCCCTCCCTCACACACTTGTTCATTGAATGGGGGAAAAGAACCAAATTGTTTGATCGATTTGACTTCCCAAGTCATTAGTTGAAAAAGAGTAAAAATGGTATTAAATTTAATCCAAGGTTTTGATGGCTATGCGGCTAGGAAACTTAATCAGGTCTCAACATTTGGAGCCTGGGTGAGTAAATAATAGTAAGATAAAAGAAAGAAAAGACAGCCACAACAATAAAGCTGTCATTCAGTACCCTATTGTACCTGTCTTACTGAATACAGAGCCAGCTCTGAAGAGCAAGGCCTCCCACATGGGACCTTGATCCTAAGTTGTTTACAAACACCGAGGAAACCATAGCAACATAATCCTGGTCCCCCCCCCCCCCTAGGATTGCAAATATGAAGGATGCTGTATCCATATTAATCGTCCTCATTTCCATCTTCCTAGCTTGATGTTGCAATTGATAATTTAAGCAGAGGAATGCTATATGCTCATGTATTCAAGGTAAGAAAGTTCATTTCTTTTTTGCTAGCATACACTACTGGCATATACTACAATACTACTGGTCATACATGATATATAAAAACTGGTGATCAAAGCTTATTTATTTCTTAAATATCTCCCCCTATCCATTCTTGAAAGTTAAGGCTACAGGACCAGTGAAACCCCAAAACAGAGGATGGATCAATGACCCAAACATTTGGGATATCGGAAAACTTAATTTTTTTGTATTCATAGAAGAGACAATTATTAACAAAACAAAAGAGAATTGTTTGAGGAGGTGTGAATGGAATAGTCTCAACAAAACAGCTGGTAACACAAAATTTATATTGCATACAGTATGTTCCTGCAGTTAATGTTTATTTTTATGAAGTGAATTTTTGTGTATTATTATGATTCAGTTTGGCTGGTTGATCAGTTCCATTGAGTGGATGGTGTTTGTATGTACTCACACACTTGGCAAAGCATGGAAAGGCTCTTCAAAGTCCTCCCCACCAGTGTGGGTACAGGCTGTCATGGCTAATGGTTAGTATCTCACCTTGTAAGACTTAATGTTCAAGCCACCATTTTGCCTATAATTATCATAATTATTTTCTCATTATTCCCAATTCCATCCTGAGTAAAAGTATTGTTAAAAATGAGAACAACTGACTGGATCCATGTTTCACATACAGTAAGCTGAAGGCATCCAACAGTCCTCATTACTCAATCCTGGCCTAAATTCTGTATAGACTGTGGGTTATCTTCCCTACTCATTTTGTTTCCACTAGGTTTCAAGACACCAATTGGAGCATTTGCAATACTTGGTCTGCATGGTCTTCCCATATGGTTTTATATAGAAAGAGTAAAATTATTGGACGAAACCCTGAGCCCATGCATGCAAGCATATGTGACGCTGTGCTTATCTGCAGGGAGACTGTTGTGCTTTGCTGTTGAGGTATGTGTTAGCTGTTTTGATCGGTTCCCAGTGGGAAGCCATTAAAATGTTGATGAATAGCTTTTTTGTGTACAAAAAGATATTTTTGTACAAAAAAAGTTGATTTAGCTTTTTTAAGTAAAACATTCAGGTTTTGGCTTTCAAAAGAGACTCCTATGATTTTTTGCTATGACTGGACCCGAGCTGCAATTTACCACCTTTGATCATTGCCATCTTCTGGCACACGTTCGAAATAAGTCTATTATATTACCAATACCAGGAACATCTTCAACTTTGAGATTGTTCTAAAGTCAGTTACTTAACTTTCCCTCGAAAAGTTCTACTGTTTTGGACTATCTTAATAGCAAAAAAACTTAAAGCTACTGTGATTAATTTGAAAAAAACTAATTTTTATTCATTTCAAGAGAACACATGGTATCGTGTCCAGCGTTATTTGCAATTTATGACTACTCTAAGGGTGCATTTCTGTAGTGTTCAGGTTCCCTACTGAAATGAGCTTTGTACCAAAAAAAAACCTTAAGGAGACATAGATGCTCATAAAAAGCACTTTCTTGTCTGGTACTTTTGCCTTTCCTGGGATCCTTGTTCTCCTCATCAAGGGTAAGCCCTTAAAACCTGCTACTCACCCCCCCCCCCCMCMCMCMCACAMACACACACCCACCCACCCATATGGGGGAGAAATGGGAACCATAGAGCTCCCGAGTTATCGTTGGTTTGCAATCGTTCCCAAGAAAATTAAAAATCAAAAAACATGGCGGTCATGATATATCAAGAAAAGACTGTCAAAACACTGCTGTCATATCTGAGTAAACTGACAAAATTCGTAAAGGAAAGCGAAGATAGTGTTTAATATTAGAAATTTTGCACTTAATTTGGACACTCTAGATACGCAAACAAAACATACACTACTACCCATGCATTCAGTATCATTTCCTTCACACAAGACACAAGCTCTTGGCGAGACCGGCAATCCCGGAATACACCATAGACAAAGCCTCTCGCAGCAATAGGAAATAACACAGCAATCAAACTCGATTCATACGTCCATGATTCGAATATTCGATAATTTTTCCTTGCTTCGCAGTCATGGTTTATCTACGCCCACATTGAAGACATGGTGGCCTCTGATGTCGAGGAAGAACAGGATACGAAATTTAAAGAGCAACGAGCCATCCGAATCGAAAGAGTCTTAAAAAGGGAGGTCATTGCCAAACCCAGGTCACGGTCAGCTCCGAGAAGAGTTCCTCTCAGGCACGTAGGATCAACTATGATTGAAGAACAAAGAGAACGAAGAAGTGATTCCTCCTCGCCCGTCAGAAGACGAAGGCGTATTCGTGTATCACCGAATCGAAACCGAAGACCTAACGACGACTCACCGACACAAGTACGAGAAAGAAGTCGAAGCCCAAATGACCAGGAAAGTAGGCAAAATTCACAGATTGGGCAAAATGAGGTGGAAATAGAAAAGAATAAAGGAGAAATATCAAGAGATATGACCATGATAAGAGAAGTACCGAGTGTTGGTGGAGGTATAGAGAACAGCAATTTGATCCAAAATGGATCGGAGGAAACTTTAATTGATCCGAGTGAAAACTAAATAACATTGAATACAATTTCCAAACTACATAAATAAGATGTCAAGAAAGCGTTTATTTAATATCAGATGGTTTGTACGAAAGTATTTTTGGGGACGTTAATTGTAATACTTACATTGATTTTATATTAAAATCTCTTCTGCAAGTGATCGTTCATTCGAAATCGCAAATTAATAACYATAAAAATGTTGATAGTGATGGTGTTGTGTATTTAAAATGTTGTTTCAGTTGCACATACATATACTGATATAAAAATTATTACATACAAAACTAAAATATATTTGTGTCTTTCCAAGGCTACATTTAGTGTTGATATCATAGGACCCAGTATGGTGCCCTGTGGAACTCCTAGATTAATAAGTACAAATATGGTGTAAACTGAGACAATCGCGGTCGATTCTCATAGATTCTCATAATTTGTGTTAATAGCATAGGACCCAGTATGGTGCCCTGTGGAACTCCTAGATTAATAGGTTCAAATGTAGTTTAAACTGAGACAATCGCGGTCGATCCTTTCGAATATSAGAAAGATGTTTCAGTGAGGGAATATTAATGTATCCGAGATTATTTCAGCAAAGTTCCAGTTCGAATGAAAGAGTTTTAATGTTGGAGCGATTTTCGTCCAAGTGCCCCTTTAAATTCATTATCTTGCAAAACCTTTTTGTGTATTTTTATCATTTTTCATTTCCTTCTCGCATGCGATTATATTTTCTGAAGATACTTCCGGGAATCAAGTCAAAGCTTCTTTATAATACCAAAAACTACTTCGAAATTACCATAATTTTGACTGAACGTGAGACAAACTTGGAAAAACTACAATGTGCTCAGCGGTTTATCATCAAAAAAAAAAAAAACCGTTAAAAACGGTGCTAAAAAGATTGGGGCAGTTGAAACCGGAGTACCCATGGCTACGGCAATGAAGTGTCCAAAGTAGTTGATTGTCTCTCAGCGAACATACAAAGCACCTCCAGGATGAGCGATATTTTTCAGATGATTATGAATTGACCGCTTACCGCACGAGTCGTGGACTGGATAACACTCTCTTAAGTTACCTTCAAAGAAGAAAGAATGATCTCCGCTTCTATACAAAGCAACACCACATTGTGTCTTAAGAACAAAATGAGTTGGAACGTAATTGAGACAGACTTGAGCCACGTTCTTTATAAGCCTGCAGTTCAGGGACCCAGTTTTCCAGTTGAGAACATCCCCCGTGCCCTTCAAGCATGCTACCCAATGCGTGATGTTCGATTTCACCATGAACTCGTCACCAATCTTCCTCCACAGTGGGAAATCCATCGCGGATAACGCTGTTTCATTCAGAGGAGCCACGCTAGACCTTGGTGTCCAAGTTGAAGAATCCCATTGGCTTATAGGCCATGTTGGAAACGGGGTGACAGCATTGGATGCAGCAATGAAGTTAGCAAAATTTGTGAATCGGTAACTGTAGACTAGGGTCCAGCCTCCTCCATCGATGGTCATTTCACAGTAGACTTGAAATGGAGTGACGTCATTTCCTGGTTTGATCCAGTACACTCCGCTTGGTGCATCGGGATTGAGTTCACGGATTCGTTTACACGAGTGGACTGATAGTTCCTTTTTCGTTCCGTATCCTATGAAAAATTATAGGGGTTGTTAACCAGGTCCTCTAGTTCTATCACCATCCAAGATTTGCTCATATAATCTAACACAAATTATTAAATTACATAATATATGATGATTACATAAGGCTTGCATTAAACTTCACTCCTTTCAGTGGTGATGCGTTAATTAGTGCTTAAGACGGGCTGCCGGCATGCTGTAGTAAGGTTTTCATAGCGCTTAAGCCCGTCCGCTCTTAAACGATCAAAAACGATGATGCCATCGGAAATAATGCACTATCGTCGTCTGCGTATGTGAAAAACAAACCCGCACTGTAAGTGACGTCAGCGTTTTTAAAGACTACCGTTTTCGCCTTTTTTACGAATGTGATACAGGGGTGCTGCAGGGAGCAGGCCCAAGTGGCCAGGACATCCTTCCCCTCCCCTGCGGTAATTTTCAAATTTAAAATGTATGCGTTTTCGATCGCTTTATTGCGGACGCAAGGCCAAAACGTATCGAAGCGTAACGAAAACCTAATACTTCATATACTTACTTGGATCTCTTACGTCTGCATAAACGGAGTTGCCCTCTTTGACGAAGAACGATGAGAAACCTTTTCTAACCGCCATGTTGTGTTCACAGTCGTTAGATACAAGGTTGAAGTTGATACTTTTACACTGTTGATCTTCAACACATTTCAGACTKCACACATCGAGGTCTTTTGCTTTGAACTTAGAATACGCAAAAGCCTTCAGTGCGTACCCATAGTGAGATAATCGACTTGGCTTGCATTGTTGTGCGCAAGCTCCCAGGAACCCAAGTAGAGTAAATACCAGCAGTATCAACAGTAGTGAATACGTCTTCATTTGCCTGAAAACATTTGAAAAGAAATAATTCTAAAGTACTCTATTCAACCATCAAAATACGCATTTTTAGACTTTTATTTCGTACTCAAAGCTATAGATATAGCAGAGATAACTAGCTAAAAACTAGAGTGAGCTGCGTCGGCTTTTCTAATGAAACAGTAATGATAAATATATGTTATTTACCGGCCAGGAGGTCCGGATAGGGAAAAAGATGAAAAAACCTACTGACGTTTCGGACGCTGGTAGAAAGGAGTGTTTATATCATTATTATAATCATCACCATTATTATTATTATTATTTATTTATTTATTATTATTATTATATTTATTATTAAATAATCGAAAGATAAAATGAGTGGGTTAGTTAAAAGCAAAGCGTTCATTAATCCCGTTGGGAGTAAGAGTGCCCAATAGGTGAATAAGCTGCATTTCTATGGTCTTGCGACATTTTTTGTTACCGTTAATCAAATAAAGACCTGTCGTTCAGCTTATTCACCCATTGGGCACTCTTAATCCCGACGGGATTATTGAAAACAAGAGAATATCATTACTAGAATATTTATAGGTATAGCAATATATCTTTCACCATCTGAACATGCGCAGTAGGTTGCTTGTCATGGCTGTTTCATTTTTAATAAGTCCCGTCATTAATTTACGGGGAAAATAGCAAAGCAGCTTAACTCAAAGAAACAATCAGAACACCCGCATTTAACTAATTATTTTTTCTCAACTGTAAATTTGACTCAAAACTTTGCCTATCGAAAAGACCCAATGAAGAATAGCGCTCGTGCTGTTCAGAACCCGACAGGAAAAAAATCTAACTATTCAGTATTGACATTTCGGCTGAATTTTTCGTTAATTACTAATTGAATTCGTCAGTCTTATTAGTCTACCAAAAAACAGCTGCTACAGCTGCCTTTGAAGATTATCTTGGATGCGAAGATTAAAGATACAAAGGAAATTTTAAGGGATAATAACGACATTTTGTAACCAGGTTATGTGTTTCGAGAGTATCTAGACTCTCTTCCTCAATCATACTCTCGAAAAATGTTGGCCAGATAAGATTCAAGATAAATTTCATTAATAATGCCTGTGATATTACTTTTTTTATTTAAAAGGTATATACAGGCTGAAAGGGAAAAACCTGAATGACACAATTAGATAAAAAATGTTGGTGAGACTTTAAAATGTCGTATTGCCTCAAAAAACCATAGTACACTTGCTAGTCCATGAAGTATAAGCGTACGGCGTCGAAGATAAATCTTACTATCATTCTGCATTCAACAATTTGGTACAGGTTTTACTTGTATGTTGTTTATGTACTACAACTAATAAGATTAACGTAATTTCTTGTGTAAAAAGCATAAAATCCTGAGATTTTCAGTACAAATATTTTAGCTGCGACGCGGTTTAAGTCGCCCAAAAAAAGGATTCGTTTTGAAGCCTTCTTTTGGGGAAAAGTAAAGTCCGTTAAATAGTGGCTAACTAATTCAGCTCAGTTAGACATTTTAAGGTGCAGTACTGGGCCCGGTTGTAAGAAAGGTGAATGACAGCACTATCAACGCCGGATAAATCTTATCCGATGGATAAATTTGTTGGATAACAGCATAGACGTATCCACTGGATAAGGATTTATCCGGCGGATTGCGCTATGCAGGCTTCATACAACCGGACTCTTGTGAATATTTTTTCTCGTCTTTGTATTTTGTCTGGCGGCATAACGGAGTAAACCAAACACTGCACACTTATACAAAAATAATTAACTATGCTTATACTGCACTCTTAAATGTCTAATAAGATATACGGTCAATGTCATTAACGTTGTCCACCGAAACAAGACATTTACACATTTACACATTTAGACTAAAGTGAGCCTGAACTTTAAATGTAAAATTCAACTCGTGAATCGAAAATCCAGAATGCCCGAACATTTAGTGAGGATTTAAGATGGAGAATCGTACTTCAGCGTTTGTTTTGTGCCAGAACGTTCGAGGAAACACGTGATATTTCACTTAGTCTAAATGTCTTATTTCGGTGGACAACGTTAATGACATTGACTGTAATAATATACCCACATATCAAGCTATCCTCAGCTTCCAGTGCACGAACTAAAAGACACTCACCAATTTGTAAATTTGAATTACCAGTTGAATGACTTTCACCGAGATTAAGCAACTTACTTTTGATTATTCAGGAGGTGGCTGACAGCTGGTAATTTACACATCCTCGCTTCGTGAAATGACAATACTTTTAATATTTTATGATTTTGTCTTTATATTATCACACACTTACATGATGTATTGCTTGCTTGTTCATTGGTTCAAGTATCATTCTGCTTTACTTTTGAATGCTAACCATGGTTTCGGTACGTTACGTGAGTCACGTTTAAAGTTTTCTGTTTATTGGTTATTATATCTTACCTTGGGTTATATTGAACTTAGTTTGCTCCTTCGACCTGACATTGTTGTACCTAGATTTCGAATGGGTTAAAATTTTGTCCGAATTTTACCTGTATTTTCGATTTGTTAAAATTTCGATTTGACTTAGTCTTCTGATTGGTTAAGATTTAGACCTGATGTAGTTTTACTTAGTTTTCTGATTGGTTAAAATAATTATTTAGACCCAACATTTCCTTCCAACTATTAGCCAATTAATAATAATAATACAATTGTATTAACACTCTATAATCCCATATAAGCAACTATTGTATTATTTTCACATTCTCTTTCCTGTCCAAATTAAGATTAATTTGGATCGTTTCCATTCGTATTCTTTGGAGGAAAAGCTGAAATTGAGTGACAAGATCTGATGTTAGGTGCAAGGGCATTCCATATTTCAATTGGCTGTCTTAATCCAATAGGGAACCCAACGCTTTCATTTTTATGGTACTGATAGCCCAGTAGAATATCAGG